ACCGCACAAGACTAGCTAACTCAATTGACAGATCTTATCGGAGAATTAATAAATAAAAGAGCAAGAAGGGCGGTTAAGACGAGAGGAGACAGGAGAGGCGATGCAAGGGACATGTTTGCGGTGCTTAAGGTGAAACTGACTCTCCTCCTGTTATTCAGCCTCGACGTTGAATCATGGCTTTCACATTTTGGGCGGCTTCCCCTGGGCCCACCCCTTGTCTACTTCCCAATCAATGCATGGATACATCATACACCCCATAATATAACTAAGTAAATCATGGATGTACGGTTTCAGACGACTTATATTATTGGGAGAATTACGTAAAACAAACTAAATTTACTAAATTTTAAATAATAATTTTTTTTTTAAAAAAAATACTACCTTTTGTCTTAATTATAAAACATCGTTTGTAATTATTATAAGATCCCATTTGTATACTGTAAAACAAGATCTTATAATCAAGACCGGCTGTAATATATTGTTATTTATAATATCAGTCCTGTGAAAACCTCGGTACTAAGTCCAGTTTAGAATTTGATCATATTTAACTTTTTTTTTCTTGTGAGATTCTCCTTTCATTATATATAGTTTTAGAAACTGATGTTAACCGAAATCTGGATCAGTATAAAATACGAAATTTATGGCAAAATAAGCTGATCATAGATTACAAATAACACGAGTCATTCTATACATTACAATATGCAGCACTTACGAAAATCCAGTCGGTTGAGAATTACAAAACCACGAAAGAAATTATCTTTTTTCCCAGCAAACAATGTTTACCCAAAGAGGGTGATACCTATAAACTTTATTATATTAACACGACCATGCTCTTCTGAAAAAAATAACACCGTGGTCATAATTAACAAATTTATTTAAAAGCAATTATGTGCGGGGTGTGTTAAGAAAATTATATCGTCAACAAGAATAAAAAATCAAACCGAACACTAAACCGGTTAAAGTAGTGGTTCAAAAGTCACTTGGTCGGACCAGGGTTAACTCGGAGTCCAACCGGTCATATTAAAATAATATAATTTAATTAAAAATAATAAAATATAACGACATTAATAATTACTAATAACAAAATATAAGAAAATATGACAATGGTTTGATTGTAACAATAATAAAGTATAACAATATTGAGAATTTTGATCTTTATTATTCATTATTAACTAAAATTAATAATCATTGATATTAAAATTATCATTAAAATTCATTTAAATCTATAGGGGCTGAGATATTAGGAGTTAAATGAGAAAAAATAGGACACATAACAACTAAATCATCCAAACTGCTTTATTACCAGTTCACACCGGTTTTTACCGGTTCAACTCTCTCCCGGTTTGATATTCAAATAGAACCGGACCAATGACAGGTTTACAGGTTCACCGATTAAACCAGCTGGTTCGATCCGGTTTTTTATTATTTGACTATCAATAAAAATGCGTGCTGCTAGTTTTAATTATTTATTTTTTGCCAGATGGTTTTATCGTTTTAACAAGTGGGTTCCTGGTTATTTTAAAAAAAAATGTTGGGTTAAATCGGTTATTCTACAGATTCCACCCTGCCCCGAAGGCAGCGTACGGGCCACAGGCCGGATCCTTTCAAGATCAACACGAAACAAATGGAGTCCGATGAGTGACCGTCGCGTCGCTCTCAATATCGGAGATAAGTGTCACTGGCCCACCAATTTATGAATCCCTTTGTTCATATAATTGATTTATTTATTTAGGATTCTTTTACATTTAAAAAAAATTATACGTATTAAAAAATTTAAATTACTACATATGCCATGACTCATACAGGGAAAAAATAGTTAGCATGACACATGTGGTAGGATAAGTAATTTTATATGTATTAAAAAATTTAAATTACTGCATAGCTAACAACTAAAAAATATAAAATGATTAAAAGAGTGGAGAGAAAGGGACGAACACAATACGACGTGCAACGCTGCGCCATGCAATAAACTGATGAGAAGCGGAGATAATAGTTGGGAGTGCTGCGATCACAGAAGCCACCAAATAAAAGTCGCTGACGATGCATCTCGATTCCTCCTGCGTGGGGTAAGAAGGGAACAAAACGAAACATAAAAATAATGTAAACTAAACTAAACAATAAAGCTGTCAGTTAAGATGATAATTGATTTCAGCCTATAAAAAATATAACATATGTTCGGATTTCGGTAAGCATACTCATTAGGAGATTTTTGACCTTGACACTTCTGGCCCAATGATTCAAAGAAACTCTGAGCTATAAAAAAAAACATATTTAAAAGGTTAAATTAAATGTAGATCATCTCAAATAAAATCAGAGCCCTAACTTATTTTTAGCTTTAGAAAGAAGTCAGTTTTCTGAGGGCAAAAAGGAGACGAAAGATCTATAATGGGCCTAGGGGCAGTCCAGCAATTCCTGGATAAATTTTATTAAAGGCCCATTTTTGAGTATTTATTTTTGAGAAAGTTTTGCTGGAGAGACCAAAAAAAAAAGGAGAGTAGTAATAAGGGCCAGGTAATGGAGTTACAGGAGAATTAATTAAGGATTGGGTGGGGGCAACAGTATCTAATACATTCGAAGCAGAGATCAAAGTGGACCACAGTGAATCCTAGTCAATAGCGATGGCATGGGCATAGTCAATAGGTCTGAATCTCTTGGTGGAATGGGACCAGCCTTTGCTCAACCTTTTATGATTGATGTGGACATCACATGCCTCCTGGAAACTTATCTCTGAACCAAGTCCAAACAATTCAAAATTTTTTAATTTAAAATAATAATGACAATATTTTTTAAATACAGCTTAAAACACGGGAAAAATAAGCAGACGAACCATTATAATTAATTGAATCAAACCATTAATCAGATCAAAGGGGAAAAATAATAGACTCTTGGTATATCGTCAAAACAGAGGGTGCGGCAAGAAAGTCAAAGACGACTGGCCGAAAGGAGTGTAATTAACAGGGCCTAGCTTTTTCCAGACCCTGGCAAAATTTAAACGCAGGAGAAATAATGAGCAGCCGGGGCAGAAAGAAAAGACGGATCCCTTCCATGTTATGTAAAAGATAGGGCTGGTTCTTCATGGTTCAAAAGTCAGCCTTGGCTTTTCATCCTTCTACCTCACACCGGTGGAAAATGACATTTCCCCACATACGTGACCCACTTTTCCAATCATGGACTTATCTCCGAAGTTACTCCAATCTATGACTTCCTCGTGTCTGATTTTAATGAATTCCTCCTCTCTGTTTTTTTTGGTCCTTGGGAACCAACTGATCCAAATGTACGTAGAAATTCTACTTTGATCAAGCTTGTAATTAACAAACGAGCCTTAGAACAGGTGAAGTTCACATAAATTCGCTCACGGACTCAAATCTCATCCAAAAATAATGCAGCAGTGTACTGGAGTTTGGTTTATTCCAGATATTCCCATCAAAGTTTACCTCACATCATATTGATAATACCCAGAAAGTCCAAGAAGCTGAATCACGGCGTGAGTTGTTGAACTACTTTGAGGAGGCAACGGTCCCATAGCTCTGCGGCCTCCCTTTACATTCCAAAAAGGGGCTACATCTCCACAACATTCAAACAGCATCCCAGCAATACTCCATCCCATTATTTTAAGCATAACCTCACGAATCATCTCTGCCCTTTATTTATTCACTTATGAACTACTATTAATTATGGGAAAGTGGGTCCGTGGTGCGGCTGAGAGTTCGACGAAGGAAACAAGGTGACTTCATAACACGGCATGAACCTCACGAGTGCCTCAAACATGTGGCATTTTTAAAACTTGTAGTCTTTTCATGAAAAGGAGCCAGCAGGATTAAAAAAGAATCTCTCTCCTTTCTTTCTTTCTTTTGCTTTTGTCTGTCCTTCTCCATAGCCCCAAATCCTCTGCTTTATTAGCCACTGCTTATCTTCCACCTGTTAAATCGTTAAATTTTACGCGCCAGGGCTTTCTCTTTCTCCTAGCCATCTCTCTATTATTAGGGTTTGTTTCATCTGGTCCTGGAACATCAGCCTTACACGTGCGTCCTACCATCCCCATTTTTTCCATTCTGGTGTGCCATGCTTCGCGGTTTTCATGATGGAGAAAGGATTTACGACGACGGTACAGCTCGTGCCCTCTAACTTTTTCTCTTGGCCCTTTGCTTAGTCATGATTCGTTTTTTAAGATGCGATCCACCTGGTCCTTATATATGTTAATTATCACGCTTACCCACCTCAAGTAAAATCATATTTACCTAAGTAAATGACATATTTCAAAGTTAAAATAATGTCTGCGTAGAAACTTCAAATTATGAGTGACTAATGAGCATTTTCTTCTTTCAAAAGCACATTCACGTTATCATGATTATGATTTTATGGACCAGGACGCTTGTTATTCTTAATCCGTGTAAAATGAGATCAAGGCTATAATTAATGAAAAGGAATTCCACGAAATACCTTTTCCCGGGGCCAGATTCATGCTTTCCTTTTGCTCACTCGGCTGTAGACACTAGATTGCTTACTGTTCTGGCTTCTGGTGACTTGTGAGTTCTCTCTGTCTTCGCCATGAGCATCTTGGATTGTGGGTCTCCTTGCTTGCTCACTGATCATCCTTTTCTTCTGTTCATGTCCTTATTCTAACTATTTTCACTACAAATCTAGACGCGTTGGCATCTAGCATTCTCAAGCTCATCATCCATAGTCTCCATTCTCTTTTCCTTCTATTCTCTTATGTCCTCATCTACTCCTTCCCACGCAATCAGCAACTTGACTAATGCATTTTTGACTTCTCAGTGACCGAAGTCTTTCCCGGAATCTGCTCCTTCGAATAAGCTAACTGCCACTTGAAATTTTCCAATGGGGGCCCTGGGTTGAGTATATAGTAGTTCATTATTTTTGTTGTTATCCTGTCATTAACATTAGCCTGCGATATTCAAAGTACAATGTTATCGTCAAGATTCTGCTTTTATCAGCTTCCTGAAAAGTGATTATGTTCTGAAAAATGCATTGTCCATTGTGATTGGAGTTATTCGGTTCCCGTCTCTGCTGAAGTTCCAGTTTTTAGTGGTAGAATTCATTTCTCATCCCTGTTTGTTTCAGAGAAAAAGGGGCTTCGGCTTCTGGATATTCTATATTCCTCTCCTGCTTACAATTTATGGCCTTCAATTCGTCTAGTGATCACAAACTTATGCTTCCTTGTCAATTTGCTGTGGGCATAACTATGCTTCTCAGATGATTATGAAGGTTGTTTATGGTGGGTTCTTCAATCTCAGTGATTTTGACTTTTCCTCTCAGGTACAAAACTTAAGTATTTTCTTCTTCAATTGTATTTGATTCATTTTGAAATGTTCTGGGCCCTTGAAAATTTGTCTTCGTTCTGGACCTAACATTCTTTGAAATTTTGTAACCGAGTTTTTACCGTCACACCATTGAACGATCGTGCCATTGGAACCTGAGAAAAATCCTTTTCATTACCTCGTAGATTCTCAGGCATAGGCTAAATTTTACTAAGATGACATGCAAAAGATTTCATGTGTGACACTGGGGGGTAGCTTTCTGTAATATCCCTTATATTGCCCCTGAACTCATCTAGAAATGCTTGAACAGGAGCTTTGTTTCCTTAGACCACCATTCTTGCTGTGCATTTTCGCTGGCTTCTTGCTAAATTCCTTTGTCATCGCTGAGATTCCATTGGGTTCCAAACTTTTGGTGGCTGACAATGACTGTTGGGTCTCCTCCAACGGTGACTTTGCATTAGGATTCTTTAACATTTCAGATCAACCTAACCTATACAGTATTGGCATTCATTACAATTCGAAGTCTATACCAACTAGCCAGCAAACAGTTGTCTGGACTGCAGGAGCTGACATCACAGTTGGTAATGAGTCCTACTTCCATCTCACTCAGCAAGGGGAACTGATCCTGTTTGATTCCTTACGGGGAATCCCTATATGGACTAGTAAAACAGGCAATCGATCAATTGTTTCAGCTGCTCTTCGTGATAATGGCAACCTTGTTCTACTGGACAAAGAGCAAAACACTGTTTGGCAAAGTTTTGATGATCCTTCTGATACACTTCTTCCAGGACAGAGTTTATATGTGAATCAGACACTTCGAGCTGCAAGCAAGAATTCATTGTCCAGCTACTACAGTCTAGATTTGAACGCTTCCGGTCAGTTACAGCTGCGTTGGGAAAGTAGTATTGTTTACTGGGTCAGCAATAGCCCTTCTACTTCAAATCTCAGCGCTTTTCTAACCCCCAGTGGAGCCGTGCAACTTCGGCAACAAAGTTTGAAGCCCGTTTGGTCAGTGTTTGGAGAAGACCACAATGATTCCGTGAATTACAGGTTTCTTAGGCTTGATTCAGATGGCAACCTGCGGTTATATTCATGGATAGAAACTGCACAACTTTGGAGGACAGTCTGGCAAGCTGTTGAGAATCAGTGCAAGGTCTTTGCAACTTGTGGTCAACGCGGTATCTGCGGGTTCACTGCCTCGGGTGCCACTGATTGTAGGTGCCCCTTTGAGCTCACTGACAGTATCAATTGTATGGTTCCTTATAAGGAGTGTGAATCTGGCTCCATTATGCTTACATTCAAGAACACATTTCTTTATGGAACATATCCCCCTGATGAATCAGTTATCATAAGTAGTCTGCAGCAATGTGAGCAGTTATGTCTGAATGATTTTCAGTGTACATTTGCGACCTACTTCAATAATGGAAGTGGTCAGTGCTCCCTGAGGAAAACTCCGTATGTCACTGGTTATGCAGATCCATCTCTAAGCTCAATATCTTTTGTCAAGAGATGTTCAGATCCACTAGCTGTAAATCCCAATCCGAAGCAACCGCCTCCATCAGAACAGCCTATGGAGCTTTGTCTTCCTTGCTTAATAGGAGCAGCCTCAGGCACATTCTTCATCTTTGCTATGGTTCAGTTGGGAATTGGTTTCTGCATCTACAAAAGAAAAGGCTTTACTGGTAGGAAAACAGCCACCTTGGGTCTTGCGAGCCCACACTTGAAGGGCCTAGCTGTTTTATCTTTCTCAGAAATCAAGAGCCTAACTGGGGACTTCAGGAACCAGATCGGTCCAACTATGTTCAAGGGTTTGATGCCAAACAATCACCTGGTTACAATTATTAACCTCAATGCATTCATTGAAGAAAGGAAGTTCCGAGGTGCTGTCATGAAGATGGGAAGCATCCAGCACAAGGACCTTGCAAAGCTGGAGGGTTATTGCTGTGAGTTCAATCATAGATTTATGGTGTATGAATATGCCAAAAATGGTTCTTTGGGTAAATATATAGATGATTCAACTCTGTGCAAGAAGTTAACCTGGAGAAAAAGATTAGACATATGCTCAACCGTGGCAAAAGCTATCTATTATCTGCACACTGGGTGTAGGGAGTTCGTGAGCCATGGAAATTTGGAATGTGAAAATGTCATGTTGGATGAAAACTTGACTGCAAAGGTGACAGATTTTGGGTTTGCAAGAATAGATGGTCAAGCATCATATTGTGGTTTTTCAGCTGAGAAGGATGTGGAGGATTTTGGGAAGTTAGTATTAACTTTGTTGAGTGGATCTCGAAATCATGAGGAAATTCGCGATTGGGCTTATAGAGAATGGAAAGAAGGGAGAGTTGAAAATGTGTTTGATAGAAGAATTGAAGGTGGAATGGAAGTAGAAGAACTGGAACGTGCATTAAGAATAGCATTCTGGTGCATTCAGATGGATGATCGCATGAGGCCTTCTATGGGGGAAGTGGTGAGAGTACTTGATGGTAATTCGAGTGTAGATGCTCCTCCACACCCATTTGCATTTCAGAAGCCATTGCATGAAGATGATGAAGCACAAGAATATGGTTCAGAATCAGAAGTATAAGGCAGGAACTTCTAGTTAGCATTCTTGCAATGGTATGTTTATATTAGTTAGGACTAACCATCCAGGTGATGAATAACTATGTTCATGTCCAATATTTTTTTGTCCCTGAAACCACATGGGATGCGACTGTAAACTGTGGAGATCATAGTGTTAAATGTTGATCTGCATTTGAGCACAGCACAGACGATTGTCACGTGCAGCCTTGCAGGGCAAATTAGTGTTTGCTAGATAAAATGGATAAATGCATTATTGTACTGTATAATGTTTCTTTTAATTTTCACTCGAATGAAAAAAAAAGAAGAAGATAAAATGGACGAATGGAGCAAGCTACGCTATATTACTATTTGGTGTTACTATTCAAAAAAAATGGTGCCCTGTAATTGAGGTTTTTGGGGGAGTGTCTCTTGCTTCCTTTTTCCCGGCTCCCCAAACGAAAGGACGACTGGTTATACTATGTTGCTGCACTTCCAATCCAACTAAATATTAGACGTTAAATGGAGATATAATTTTTATGAGGATGAAAAAGAATTTTAATGCACTAAGTCATATTACTTACCATAGGCAAAAAATGAATTGAGAGTACTATTTTACACTTTTCTTTGCTTGAAGAGAAAGTAAAAGTAGTTGGAAAAAAAATGAGCAGAAAGTAAAAGTAAAATTAAAACTTCAGAAGACTTATTTCTCTCCCTTGTGATTGTGTGTGCTCATTTGGATTAGCAGTGAATAATTGTGATTTTAGGTAATCATAAATTTTATAAGTGACACTGACTAGAAGTGATGTTGGTTAATTATGATTTCTGTTATGTTTCTTTCATAAGTTACTTTAAGATTTGTGATTATATGTTGGGTTTCCATTTATTAAAATCAATTATGGGTGTATAATTACCACAAAAATGAATTTAATAAATATTATTAAATATAATCATTTGGGGAGAGATTTTCAAAAGAATGTAGGAGGGTAAATTAGAGAAAATTCTGTTGCTAAAATTTGATCAAGATTTTTCAAATGCATAAGCTATTCCTTAATGCTTATCCTTAAAGTGCGCGGGAGAATGAAGTCACAATTTATTGGCATTTTATAAAAATTACCCAAACAGAATAAACATACTTTATGATCACTGGTTTAAATCTAAACAGGTTCATTGGAGCTCTTACCCCTCTTAGCCAAACAGGCAATGAGAATGCTCCCAATTCTTGATAACCAGAGGCCGCTTAGTATTCGAACCCAGCAAATGGGCCCAGAAAATATTTATCGATTCCCTGCTTCTTTCAAAGGGAGTGAATTTGAAGGCTACTTCGGGTCCATTGGGCTAAACAGATTTATTAAAAGTGGGAATCGTGAAGCCCAGCTACGGCAACCGGTGTTTTCACGTTTGTTTTTGAACAGTGTTTTCACCTTTTTCTTATCCAGATTGAGTTGTTTTGGTTTTGGGTTAAGAAAGATTACATTAGATCTTCCTACAGAATTACTTAAACTGTATTTTTTTTAATTTAAAATTCAGAAGAATTTTAAATAAAAATATGAATAAGAATTACACATTTTAATTAAAAGATTTGTGCATCTTCATTTATTTAGCATAATTGTGCATATAATTTATGTAAAAATTTCAGTTTCTTCAATAAAATGTTTTTCTAGTTCTTGTTATAATTTTATGTATCTTTTATCGAATGTTACATAATGTGTGTGTATTCAAACGAAAGTGTATGGCGATATTTCACCGAACGATTAAATTGATTTTCAGTAAAAGAAAATGTGAAAAGGACAACAGAATAAATATAACAATTGGGTGATAGGGGGGAAGGAGATAAGTGGGGATGAACCGGTCTTTCATCAAATCGTAAACCACGACGCTAACTAGCCCGTCTAGCTCAGTCGGTAGAGCGCAAGGCTCTTAACCTTGTGGTCGTGGGTTCGAGCCCCACGGTGGGCGACTTTTATTTTTCAGCTTTATCCCAGAATCATCCAACAACGTCAGACTAAATTACGAAAATGGACACAAATATTCCCAACCAGGAACATTAGAGTGACAAGGCGCTAGCAGAAAGTAAAGAGTAAAAGCAGATAATAAAAGGTTAAAGAAACAGGCCGTGTCATCTTAATTATTCTACCTTTTACTTCGTGATTAAGAGGGAAGTCTCATATAACCTGGAGCAGAAAGGCACTCTAATAATAAATAGAGAGGTAAACTGCCTTGGGGATTTGGTAGAAGCGCTTATGATAAAATTTAAACCCCTTGTGGTAGTAGTTGTTGTTCTGGACCTTACTGACATATGGCAGAAAGTTTTCAACCTCTGCTTTAGTTTCTTGACATGAAGCTTCTTCAATTTTTCCCCTGATTCTACGGTTTTTCTCTAGAAGTGGAAACCTCCTGTCTCCAGCTTTAGCTATGCAAACTGAGATTCTCTTTCTTCAGCTAATCTTTGTGTAAGTTTTGCTCCATATAGCTAGCTAGCAGTACTTTAGATGGCTCCAGCTTGTACGAGAGCCCAAGTCAAGTGGCAGAGAAAGCAGAAAGAAACAATGGCGAGGCCTTGCGGTTCTAGTTTCGCTCCAACCTCAACGGGCCAAGATATAATGCATAATGTAGAGAAGGAAAACGAAGAAGACGCTTGCTCAAGGGGATGTTCCACTCCGAAGGCTAAAAGGTTCAGAATACCAGAGGTCTTAACCTGTCCCCCAGCTCCCAAAAAGAGAAGGGTAACGTCTAATTGTTCTTCAAATAAGATCCCCATAGCCTTTTTCGCTTCCCTGGATATAGAGTTATTCTTCTTCTCTGCCCTTAGAAATAATGTATGAGCTTGAAGTTGAGTGTTTTGGTTTGTTTAGAGGTCAGAAATTATGACACAGTGACTTTACGACCTTGATATTATTGCTGATCCTCCCTCCAAGCTAGTGATGACGTACCGAGTTTGTGACAACTTTAATTTAGTGTGTAACCCTAATTAAATCAGGTGCAAGTCTCAAACTGTTTGGTTTTTTTGCTTGTTCTGGGTTTGATCGATTTCTTTTTTCGGCTGGGACATGGTGATATTAATCTGGCTAGCTTTGTAAATTACTTACACTTGGAGAGCTTTCGATTTGATTTAACCCTGTTGTTCTTCTAGGTGGGTTGCTGATGTAATGCCTGAAGATGACTTGAAATTTGATTGTGTTACGTTTGTTTTACGGCTTCCAATATTTATTGTTGCGTGAAGTTATCGATCAGCTACTTAAGTAATGACTTGATCATCAGCATATATATTATATCATTCTTTGATCAGTTTAATATAAAGCAAAATAGGCGCCAAAATATGAACTTTCTTTTTCATCCTTGAATGTCACGTAGATCGTGTCATCTCCACTCCACACTGGAGAGGGAAGGATCGAGAGAGAAAGCAACTTTTGAATATGGGGGAACTGAAAGCTTTTGAAAGATTAATTCTTTCTCATGCTCCTTTGTATCTTTTTTCTGATTTGAATAAACGGCAGAAAAAGCATCCACACATATCTATTCCTTCTTTTTTTCCTTTGGTCCGGGTCCTGCCGAGTGTGCAGTCGACTTTACAAGATTAAAGTAGGAAAGATGGGAAGGTTGATTAGGATGGTGGCTATATGATGATGGATTGTCATCCATATCTTTTACAGTACCCAAAAAGGCGTAGAAATGGGACAAAGCGAGAATCCAAAGATTGGATAGGCTTCGAAATGGAATATGTGAACTAAAAGTCTAAGATTTGAGTTTAGGGTTAATTATACAATGATGGTGTCCTGGAAAAAGCAGGCACATGAGGGGAAGTTGCAGAGCACATGGATAAGGGAGAATCCAATGAAGAACCTCGTGCGCCTGTTCGTCAATTTATTTCTTAATTATTGACTATACATATATACTCTGTATTTTAAATGCACGCACGTAGGGAGAATCTTAAGAAAACAGACAAACTGGTTGAATTATGTGTACAGGATTCGGTGTCGGCGAGAGGATTATTATATGTGTTGCTAATTGTTAATTTTCTTGCCTCACCGAAGCTTTTAGTGTTTTAAACGGTGGGAACATGGCTTCCAGCGTAAAAGGTTCGTCTTTTTTGATTATTTGGGATAGCCCGGGGACAAATTGTTACCATATATAAATTTTAAGCATATTCCGTGCAGATATGTGGTTTATTTGAGATATTGAGGCTAAAAATAGTTGTACAAGAGGGAGATCGAATTACTTATGTTGTCATGATGAGAAAAATACAATGGCGCCGCGTATTGTCGTTTTTGTTTCTCCCGGCAATGGATACTGATCTAATTTCTGGTCGAAAGACTCGAAACTTGCGAATATATAACTACATCGTCTTTTTTTTTTTAATAATAAAAGATGAATCAACCGATAATTAGATTGTCTTACTTTAATACTACTTTCGATCCCTAATATAAGACTCCGTTTGATTTTTATATTGGTCCTAAATATAAGACCCCAATCCATTTTGTCTCTTATATTTACTCAATTTTTTCCAAGATAATTCTTCTAATAATTATAGTTTTAGCCAACATACTTGATTAGTAAAGATATTTTAGGAAAGAAAACACCTATTTCTTACAAACAACTAACTTAAATTCTTTACTTAATTTCCTCAAATTAGTCAACTGGCTCTTATAATTAGGACCGGAGGTAGTACTACCTTATGTCTTTAATATAAGAGTTAGTTGACTTATTTGGATAAATTAAGAAAGCTAGTTAGGAACCGAAGTATTATAAGTTTTCATCTCCCTTACATCTTTCTATCCTTTTATTTGTAAAGCTTAGCCATGCCTTATATCTAGAGTTATTGGTGGGAGCTCACTTCAGGGTTTTAACTGACGTGCTGTTTACCTACTCGTAAGTGGTAAGTGGAAATGCTATCATGAACTGTTATTTTTAGCGATATGATAAAATGTCGGAAGGCCGGTCCGTTGGGTGCTTAAAGTTATAACTATTTGATGGGCTTTCTTAACACATACTACCTCCGGTCCTTAATATAAGACCCCGTTTGACTTTTTGTTTGGTCCTAATTATAAGACCCCAATCTATTTTTTCTCTTATATTTATTTATTTTTTCTAAGATAGTCCTTCTAATAATGATAGTTCTAACCAATACACTTAATTAGCAAGGATATTTTAGGAATGACAACACTTATTTATTACAAATAACTAACTTAACTTACTTCCTTAATCTCCTCAAATAAGTCAACTGGGTCTTATAATTAGGACCGGAGGTAGTACCACCTTTTATGATTAATCAAAAAATGACCCCAAAAAAAGCTAAAAAATTTATAAATATGAAATAAAAAATGTAAGCAAAATTTTTTTGTTATTTGAAAATTCAATATTGTCAACACTAAATAAAATATTGTTACCAAACCAATTTAAAATTTATTAATTTCCAACTTCTTTTTTTATCATTCTCCCTTGGTTAATTTAGAAAAAAAGTAAGAAAGTTACTAAATTATTTAAACTATATATATGTATTTATTATTATTTTCTAAATTAATTTGCCTATATACAACCTAATGATCAGTATAAATATTTTAGAAAGATCGGGTAACACATGCTATGATTCACTAATTTAGCAACTTCATTAATCTCTATAAATAAATTAATTGAGTTTCCTATATTAAGGATTAGTGCTACATTATTGCTTGGGCTCATCAACACCACAGTAAGTCCGATACAAATACAAGTTCAGAGCCCAGGAAATAAATTAAAATGAAAGCACTGACAAAACCATGACACGTTAAGACAAGGGTTCGGAAGATCAATAGCCCGCAAGTCATGAAGAGGCCTCGGTGGTCTCGAGAGTTAAGAGTCACTCATCACAGGCCAGACCCTTTATAATGAAGCCTTAATATGATCCTATCCCCCACCAATATTTCCATTCCAGGTTTAATTGAATTTGGCAAATACTTCAATTTTAATATTAACCTTTATATGACACACTCTACTGAAGTACATATATTAATATTTTGCCTGTAGTTTTAATCGATGTTTTTATATTTATAAAGTCCATAAAAGTATATCAGAATTATTCATGCAAAAAAAAGTGTCCACATAGGAATGGACATGGGGTTTATGGGCTAGGTTGAATAGGATATTTCGGTCTTCACCAACCCTCTGAAAGATGGGAGAACAACGGGCTGGCTTTACAGGCCCAGCCCAAATACAGAGGATGCCCAAGCTGGCAGTTAGGATTGCGGTCCACGTGGGGACAGCGCAGGTAAATGGAAAAGTAGGTGAGGAGCAGGACACGTGGCTAACAATAAGGGAAATGGCCATCAAGGGATTCGTGCTTGTCGCCTACCGTCACGACAGCTCGATCAGTAAACGGCGTTATGAGGACGTCATCTTACCATGGACCTAGTTTTCCAACCACGTGGCGGCTGTGGTTGGGTTGTGGGCCCCCGTAATGACTTTCCTGTTGTTGCTGGTAGCGCCTAATTATTCACGCAGGCCACTACTTTCATTTCATCTTCCTCTTTAGACTTCAGTTAGAGTATCTATTTATTTGTCTTCAATTCTGCGAACTAGGGATCTAATCTCCTTAACCTTAACCCTAACCCTGTCTCCCATCAATGATGATTGAGCCCGGGCCGTAACGCATTTCCCCATTCAATTTTCCCTGGGACCAATTTACCCCTTCCCTATAATTTTGAGTTGGCAAGTAGACTGAAATGACACAAATTTTATTTATATACGTGTTTTAATTTGTTCTGCAATACCACCAAGTCTCGCGAATTATATATTTTCACTTTTTTGTGAACATCGTTCGTTACTTAGTATTATCCACTCGTTTATATTTGAGTTATATTAAGTCTCAAATGGAAAAAAAAATTTATAATACTTCTCTAGTCCTATTTATAGGGTAGAAAGTCTTTATAATACTCCTCTAATTCTATTTATAGGGTAGAGAGAGAAGATTATTCTTAGTCCTATTTATAAGTCATTTTATTAAATTTTTAGCGTGAATGTACTATTTTGTCCTTCACTTATTATGGTGTAGGTAGTTATTTCTTTTGAAATGTGTATATATTAAATGTGAATAAAATTAAAAAATTCTTATATTTTAATTAATAATTAATGCATTTTAAGGTTTTTTTTTAATTTATGTAAAATATATTGAAAGTGCTTTATAAATAGGACTAGATAAGTATTTTGTTATAAAGCTCTATTTTTTGTCAATATATATTTGCCGTTTTTCTAAATGTCTGTGTACATATAGTTTTTGAATTTTCCGGTGAATTCTACTGAAGCAGCAAAACTCCAAAGAAACCAGAGCTGGAAGGAAGTGGCGCCCTGAAAATGTAGTACAGGTTGAAGGGCATTTCCGCTATTTCAGGAGGAAAACCCAAGACACTTTTTGTCCATTAAGTGACCCTCCGAATCCCCAACATGTAAAACGTTCTTGAGCGAAAACGTGGCACGGTGGCAGCGACATTGCAGCGGCCGGTATTTTTTTTTCTTTAACAAAATACATATTTACATTGTCCTTTGGCTTTAACCAGCAATTCAGGGTTACCCGCCAAGGAAAATCTTTCTTTCTGTTGGGTTTTATCCTCTCAGTAGTATTCTAGACTTGTAGTTTTATCACAGAATCTAGTACAGTAGTGTCCCTTGTCCGTCATATTGAATCCATGGTCGTTCTCTGCGCTAAAGAACCTCTCCTCTGTGCCTCCATTATTTGACTCATCAACAGTAAGATCTCCTCGGCTTCTTATATTCTTAACTTCGCTTACCACTTGTCTGGTTGTTACCTTCTCTGGGCATCTTTCCTATACGACGGTTAATATCTTTTGGGTTTTCTCCCCTCAGTTCAGTTCAGGTAATTTGATTAGCTCAGGTGATCGAGCCTCGAAACTGTGACGGCAGATTAATAATGATATGCTTCTTTTTTTCTTTCAGTTGGACTTTGGTTTCTATGGATTGATTCTACGTTTATTTCTGTTTTCCTTCTACTTAATTGGGCCACCATTGATTTTACGGGTACCATCATGCGGGTAGTTATTTGCTGATTCCATTGATTAGAGTTACTGGGGTCCCATAAGTTTCTCATATCCCTTCTGAAAGAGCAGGACATCTGAATTGATTGTGCTGTCAGTCTCCAAGAAGTGGGATGTTCTATCCGGTGTTAAATTCTTTGACCGTGTATCCCACTGTTCTTCAGATTTGTCCATAGAAATTTTACTAGAAGTGACAGGGTATGAGGATTTATTATATTATTGCGTCCGTTGATATTCATATTATGCTTTCATGTGGCAGATGACATCCAAGTTATATTGAATAAATCAGCCAGCACGAAGAATGATGCTGCCAAAATTGGATGACGCGTACCATTCAGAACCAAATATCAGCAGCAATAAGCTGTATGCGACCTGTTCTCGAGCTCAGTGCCATGGCCTGGCTAATGGAGCCTCCTCGAGGGACATGGTATTGGAAGGTAAAGTGAGTTCATTTGTGCCAACATTTGCTCATTACCGTGTTGGGTTGGGACCAAAATCACAAGCTAAATCTGTGGCCAATCTGCTGAGAGAAGAGGGAGGGCCCGACAAAGAAAGGGGCCGTTTAATGAGTTTTCTTAATTAATGCCACGTTACTGCTGGCTTTCTAAATATGCAATGCGTTGGCCAGATTTATTTGTTCATAATTAAAATATTTGTGCTCACAAGCTAGTAGAACAGTAATTTATGCATAATATATGTACATTACAGACTGAAGCAAGCATGAGAAATTAAAGTCACCCCCTTTTGTCTAAAAAAAGAAGTCACCCCCTAAAATAAACATGTCACGGTGAAAAAAAAACTCAGTTAAATATCACAAGAATTATTTGTAGCTGCCTAACGTGGGATTCCGTCATAGCATAGATGGCTACACTCTTCACTTCTCGCTTTGGCCGCTGGATTGCACCCTTTATAGGAAGTATTTGTCGGTTTGGGTAGAATTTCTTTTTTTCGAAAAGACTTAATTCATTCTCCCCCATTTCAAATCTTAGGGGCGACCTGTAGGTCTATAACAAATTTTTTCAAATACAATAAAAAATCCTGAGTATGGATTGTATTCTAAGAACTAAAGCAAAACAACAGTATTATTTATAAAATGATCTCCATAAGAGTTTGCTTAAGATCCGTAATGAGACTTAATTACTCTGTACATTTTTGTGTTACCCATTCAATTGTGTCATATAATATCTTCTTTCAAAGATGGTTTTAACGTTAATTTTATGGATAACAAGATGATGCATTGACATATGTGCCACAGGAATGCTAATAGTGGAAATTCTTGTAATTGATGCATACATGTTAAAATGGTATTTTCTTTCCTTTTGTGTAAACTATTTTGGAACCAATTACCTTGCTTTAAATTTATTTGTAGTTTTATCTACTTTTTTTTTTTGGAATATTCGCTTACAAACAATAGGATCCTATTAGAGCCTACCGGTGAGCCTATATTTTAATTTTCAAATTTTATTTCTCATTATTAAATCCATTTTATCCATATGCATGTGATGATATTTGAAGTATTATTCAATTTCATACGTTTGTTCTGTCATAAATTTTTATTAATATACATAGCTATTAAAACAACTAACAAATATTAATATACATAGCTATTAAAACAACTAACAAAAACTTATACTTGTTGCATCATTTTGCATGTTGTTTACCTTTAATTTCTCCCAAAGTTCCTTGTCTTAATAACCATCAAAGAATATGTATTACTAAATCGATTGAGAATGTATCTAGTGTAGATGATGTTATCAATTGTCCACTTCTTCCTTTCTAACTTGGGCTATGGTTTCTCCTACTGTTTCTTTTCCTTCAAACCCTCCTAATTGCACAAACTCTAAGATTGTTAGCGGGAAATATTCTTTAAAACGTGTTGTGAGAAGAAGAGATACTAAAAACAAAAAAGGTTGTCCATTTTTCGAAATATAGAAGTAACACTTTCCTTTTAGTTTTACCCATGCCTTTTCCAAATTTTGGATGTAACTTGACGTCAATGGGGGTTTCTTTTAACTTCTGAGTATAATTTGCAGTTCCAAAATTCAATTCAAGATGACAATATTGTTCTCAAAAGGATAATACTACGTTTTTATCTCCTTTTCTGCCCTCAAAAGTAAAGACAAGTGAATCCGTATGTCTATCTTGAATCCCGGTAAGATGATCTTGAAACAGTATAACTATTCAATAAAGTGGTATAGCTAACATTGTTGTGTTCCATAAATCAACACAGCCATTCATCAGTAATTATTAAAACTGTTTTATTTAAGAGTATCATCCTTCTATTGTGTAAGATTCCCGTAAACATAATGTTTCACTCTGTGGTGGTTATGATATTTTTTCTTGGTTTTATATTCTTCCAAAAGTGTATCCTTAATTCTCATAACTACCTCTGTGTCAAAGCACACGTCCATATGAAATTTGGATGGTTTAGACTCTAGTTCACGAGAATAGCTTACGAATCATGGAGGTAGTTGTGAAGTTTCAGGTTATGATCAACATAAATTGGGTCTTCTAGCGACCGGCCCCCTAAATACATGCGGGTTGTTTATGTTAGCATGAATAAATATGATGAAGTTGTACATTCTTTTGGTGATTATTATGATGTTATACATCCTTCATCGATTACTGATACATTCTCTGCCGAAATATTTCTTGCATTATCAGATGGCAAGACTGATGAAGAACATCAGCAAACACAATTTCCTGTTCCCAGCGTGCCTTCAACAGTAAATGAAGTTTTTGCCCAACCATCACAGTTGGAGCTTGTTGGCCCCTCAATGGTGAACTCTCTCTATGTCTCGCTCACACACACAAAAACATACTAAATCATATTCATACACATCCATAGCCTCATCTCTTAAATGGGACAGTGTGATGTTTGGGAAATCTAAATGATGTATTTTTGCAGGCATGTGCCCCTTACCCATATTCAGGTCCCAATTATGCAGGAGTGACCTCAAGTTATGGACCTCAGCCTCTGGTACGAAGCACCACTTTTATTTGGTTATTGTTGTTCAGATGCTTGCGATGAGCCCCCCCCCCCTCTTTCCTGTGCCATGATGATTGCTTATTGTGTGCTGGTCATGGAAAGATTCTAGTCGTGTATATGAAAGATCTTGTCCAAAACCTGAAGGCAAGTAGTTATTGTGCAGAAACTAATACCACCCCTTCATGCATTGCATAAAAGAAGTCAAGCTTTTTAAAACAAAAGCACAGAAATCAAGGCGTACAATGGTTGCTGGAAGGAGTCAAATTTATTGAAAGAAAAACACAGAAATCAAAATACATGTAAAACAATAGTGGGGATTTTTTCTGCACAAAATATATATGTGTGCGCGTGTGTGTTTGGTGATTCAAAGTTATCAACAATTGTCTCATAATTCTAATGAAGCCTCTAGCAATTTAGTTTCGGGTGGCCTTTCGATTTATTATTAAGCAAGTTTTTGACTTATTAGTCATCTTTCCACCCTTTTGATCCTTCCTCGTCTCTTCTCTCTACATCACCCCGTTTCTTGTGTAAACCCCCCCGGGTGTAATGGTTTTTACGTGAACTGGTATATATCATAGCAAAGCGATTGTTACAACCACTCCGTTCACTTTACACCTGGCTAGAACTCGCTGGAAACGAACAGCTGCCAGAAAACACACATTTAGCCTCCATCACATGGCACTGTGTTTTGGGCGTGGGCTGAGGTTCCTCAATGAACATATTATACGTGGAGACACTTGTTTTTCAAAGATTCAATCATATAATAATTTAAAAGTTCAACTTATGATTTGTTTGTTAGTACAACTAATATCAAATACTTGAAAATTACACCTAGGTTTTGTCCTTGTTTAGAATGCTCAGCGATGATCATTTTACAGTTAATATTAATATTATTGTAGACTTTGTAGCTTAGGCTGTGTGATTTTTCTGGCTTTTCTATTATTTAGTGATCATACCAGAAAAAAGATTGTTCTTTAATCTGACTTCTCTTCATTTTTGTTGGGAATTATGTTAGGTGCATTCTCATGGTATAGGAGTTCATACCACGCAAATGGTCTTACCGCTGGAAATTGCAGAGGAGCCTGTTTACGTTAATGCGAAGCAGTACCATGGAATTCTGAGGCGTAGGCGATTACGTGCCAAAGCAGAGCTGGAAAAGAAGCTAATTAAAGGAAGGAAGGTATTCTGGCAATGTATAGCCGATATGATTTCCTTTTGTTACGTTTGCCCCAACTGAATGTAGAATACGACTTGGTCAAACATTTTCTCAATGTCGACATAAAAAAGAATGCTATGAGAACAAACACTTATAGTTAAAAGCCACATCCAATATGCCCTGGGCTGGGAGGGTGACGATGGCAGTAAGTTGTGCTTGTTGCCAATTTCTGTTTTGCATTACTTATTATGCCTTTTTCTTCATACTTGAGGCTTCGTGTGGGACTATCAGAATGAGCAAGGTAATATGAGTGACTCATTTTACTTAATTTCTCCCGAGAACAAGATATAGAAAGTAATACACACACACATATATCGCTTTTTTGGGCCAACCATTTATTGCTTCATTCCATGCTGATTTTATGTTTATAATATAACATGCATAATCAGAAACCACTTATTTCTAGCATTATAGTTTGATAATCCAAAACCAAAAAGATTTCAAGAACTTAATGCTTTTTGTGACCGTATGCCCATTCTTGCTATTCTAGAGGTTTTGCTTATTTAGTAGACAAGGTTCAATTATTTACGAATATTACGGAGATCCTTCTTGCTAGCTACATTATATTGAAGGTAATCTGCTTCCCTAAGCAGGAATTTTATGTATTTTGCTGATCACTTAACAACTTCGGCTAGGTAGACTAAATTAAAAATAGAAGGCAGACTCTACCTAGATTAAAACGACGGTGGCTATTAGCATGTTTGTTGCATTCATGTAAATCTGATATGCTTAAGATTGCTCACTTTGTCAAATTAAATGACATGAGGTTGTGTAATTATTTTCCCTTCTGCATATTTAAGTACATGCAAATAGGTGAACCTAGACTTTCGTTGCAGTGTTATTCAGATTGTTGATGTGTTAATAAGATGCATAATCGTTGTTATTTAATTTGATGTGCAGCCTTACCTTCACGAGTCTCGACATTTGCATGCAATGAGAAGGGCCAGAGGATGTGGCGGCCGTTTCCTGAACACAAAGAAGCTCGATAATGATGCAACTTCTGCGAAATCCACAACAAACAATGAGGATGCTGCTACTTATGACCTTAATAATTCCTTTTCTACTGATTCAAAGTCAACGTCTCCCGATAAAAACAAGCACTGCTCACACGTTCAGGGATTTGATCTTGAAGGTGACTTCTCAGCACAGAAGTCTGAAACGCTCAACCACAGTATGAGGCCTGGCAGAGTCCTCACCATTAATTAAATAAACCAGTGGTGTTCATTGTGTACACAGAACTTGCGACTATTTTCTGGCGTCTGAGACTTTCCGGGAAGAGATCTTTTAAGGTTTGAGAGGGACGAGATGGCGGCATCATCGACTCCCATAATATGTATCGGGCAAATCATTCCTTGGCTTGTAAAACATTTGTCTTAACAAAAAAAGAATACCATGTTTTCTAGTGGGATTGTACAAAGAAGCTAATGAGCTGTAAGGAACATTATAGATATGTAGCTTTGCGTGCCACGCTAGAATTTATGTCAAGTTGAAGGTCACAATAGAATTTTGCGAAGATATTGAGCAAACTTGTTCACCAGCTCAGAAAGAGCGCAAAGCGAATGTATTTATTGAAAGTGACAAGAACCGGTCATTAGCAAATGAGAGAAGAATGCGAGTGCGCGTCAGAAAGGAGCAGAGCGTATGCATGTGAAAGGTGGAGCCTGCAACGTCTGCCATAAATCACAGTGGAGAAGGACCAACTTGGCGACTGGGGACCCCTAGTGGGCAAAAGTTAGGCAAGGGAATATGGCATGTGAGTGAGAAACTTCTGCATTATTTTCACAGCTTCGTAATGCTGGTTTGGTGGCCACAAAAATTAGGAATTTCATTTTCACAATATGAATTGAAAAAACAGATGACTCAGGTTTTACTATAGTTTTCCCTTTAATAGAACGGCTTTTGACAACTTTGCGTCACAATCACGAAGTAGGGCGCAATCATCTCTGAATAAGCCAAACGAAGCCGAATTTTAGCAAGATCAAGATGCTTTGTGTTCAATAAAGCAACACCAGTAATTCAAAGTCAAAATATAATGAATTGATCCACTTGTATGGATAAAGGAATCAAACTCTGAATGGATGAAATTTAACCTGATAAAAAGAGCGAATAAAAGATAGTGAATTACATGCAGTTGGATCTATTCGGACCTCATGGCCACTGAGCCGACCAGCTCATGTGACAGTGATTTGCAAGTTGGGTCACTCGCAGGTTTGGATTAGTTAACGTTAAATGACCACCGAAGTATCAATATTAACGAGTGAGAAATAGGCTTATCTCTGAGATCCTGCCTGTAAATGAACAACATTGTTGCACAACCAGTACGCTCTCTTGAATTCCGACTCCCAAGAAGATGCTCCGCACGACCATCATGTTCTTTCTGATGATACGATATTAGGTTATGGCTAAATATGTGTGTGTAAAACAAGCTTTTATCTTAATTATTTATATGTTATATTAGAACTTTAATGCCAGCTGGATTGTAAAATATCAGTATTTTTTAAAATTAATATAATAATTTTTGTTGTATATTATATTAGGACCATAAAATTATATAGTTTAGATTATATGATATATATCGAAAATTACTAAAAAAACTTACTAAAATTTTATAACCTTTACAATTATATAAATGCGGCTAGTTTTATAACCTTTACAATTATAATTTAATAATAATTTTATAATATTTTCTCATTTAAATATAATTTCTCTTTGTTAATTATATTAAGCCATCGCGACCCCCCCCCCCCCACCCCACCCATTAAGATTGGGAATGCCTCTTCTGCAGCCCCAAGGGGCAATGCCCCACATTGAAGACAAGTTTAGATTCCTGAGCCGACCTAACCTGGTCCAACGCATGCCCCCCACCTTCTCTTGTCCTTGCCCTCTAGTTCTCAAACTTTGAAGCCTACTTTGGAGGACAAATGCTGTGACGGAAGCACAAGTAGCAGAAGTACAAACATGAGGATATAGCTTTCTGTTCGCTGGGCAATATTGGACCATTTGTATTGTGATTCGGTTGAAACTAAACCACCCACACGTGGCGCCAAGAGCGCGCGCCCACGCACAACCCAAACATCTATCCCACATAGCCTGCTTTAACGTCTTCAATATTAGGCAGTCGTATGCAACAAGAACTGAGTCTAGCAGAAAAAACTAACCTCCCACAATCAAAATTCAAATCTCCGTTGAGAAAAAGATCCATATTTAATACTGACAGTGTCTCGAATAGAATTACTCTAATAAAAAAAATACCTATACTATAACAAAACAAAATATTCAAGTCATAATAATAAAAATATCAGCTTTCAATAAGTATGGAGACATATAGAGAGTATTTGAATAGAATCAAAACTATAATTTTAAAAATACTTTTACAGTATACAAAATAAATATATAAAAAAATTTATCTCAATTTAAAAAAAATATTTTTTAAAAGCACTTTCCAAAAAAGCTAAAACACCCCATAATCAGATAAATTTGCCATCACAAATCACTTGACTGGGTAAAACTGCCGACTCGTAAGTCTTTTGCAGTTGTTCAGGTCCTTCCAAAAAGCAAAGAGACCATAGACAATTGGTGGAACATATCTAATTCAAGCGGCAAAAAATATAATCGCTGCTGCCCAGGCCAATATTAATGGTGCCACCAAGCATCATGTCAAATGTCATAACAATCAAAGAAGGAAAAAACACAGGTGAAAACATCAAATTTAATGTTCCCTCTCCCTCTCCAAATTCCTGAAGTTATATATGAATTGAGAAACCGAAGTCATTAGTGGCCAAGTTCATGAACTGTTAGCTCTGCTTATCCATCCCCACCAAGCCATCTGAAAACGAACCTATGGCCTGAAAATCTAGCCCTCTTGTCCGTCCAGGTGCACCCCCTTTAAGCGAGGAAACGTGCAAAACAATCCTGATCACCCAAAATGCACAGTTAGGACAGAATTTCACACTTGATCCCCATATATAAGTAGTGTTTTCACAAGCTTACAAGTTCTTTGATTCCTTTTCAAGTCCAGAGGAGAGGCAATTTATGATAATTTTGCCATCAATTTTTGACGAAGTGTGATCCACGGGTAGAATAATCTCTCTGGGTCCTGCATTAATATATTAAACACGTTTATCGATCCTCATGACAGTTAAAAAACTGTGAAACCAAGATCATAATAACTCAGGTGTTTCTCATACCTGACTTAGGTTGAGTTGTGACATTAGCATCCAGTCCCAATAGTTTCTACACCAATGTATATTTTATATCAGAATACTTGCATAGAAAAATTTCTTGCAGGAGAGAAACGTACGAATAAGCAATGAAGATTTACTTTAAGATTCTCATAGCACTCCTCCAGGTTGTCGTTATACAAGATATGGTCAAATATGCCTGATGATGTCCCTTGCTCAATCTCCGCCTTAGCATTTCGCAGCCGCTTCAGGATCTGCTCTTCTGTCTCTGTCCTTCTGCTCAAGAGGGAGATTTGGATCAACATTGTCGGGAATCTTGGCATTACAAAGAGAGACAAAGAAAAGGTCATTGTTATTCACCTGTCACGGAGGCGTTTTTCAAGCTCTTCCATTGATGGGGGACAAATAAAAATGAATATGGCTTCAAGTGAACTAGCCCTCACAGATCTTGCCCCTTGGACATCAATATCAAGAATGCATCTCTGATTCAAAAGGAAAAATGGTTTCACTATTTTGAATTTTTTTAAAACAGAATCAAATAAACTTTCTTTAAGACAGTACTTAAGATGTTGCAAACTTGCAATACCATGGCACCTCAAATCATCTCACAGACAACTAAAATTCATGACTATAATAACCAAAAAAGGACTGCATTACATCTAACTTGCTACTTACTATTGCTGCCAAGTAGGATATGGATCTCGTATTTAGCCAGGCATATGGATTAAAAGGAATAATTATGAAAGGGGTAAGTACAATATATTATTTGATAGAAATTCAGTTGCGCTCTCACAAAGTTATCATCAATTAATCAATGTCAGTAACAATGGCCACACAACATGCAACATGAGATTTAGTCATGCATATGACGAGGGTGCTACCTTTTTACATCAGAACAGTCAAAGTGTTCATATGATGCATGTGGCAGCGAACAGTTACATTAGCAGAACATGAGTTTAAGTTTAAGCCTTTAAGGTCATCTTTGCATTTCAAAAGTTTGTGTCTGTAAAATCAGTTAATTATTAAGAGTAGCTCGGGCTAAATGTTATTTACTTTTACGCTCTGCTTACAGAAATAGGCAAAAATAAGCCTTCCAGTGAGGCTTCTCCAGAAAGATTTTTTTGGATTAGCCTCAAGGGCATCCAGACGCATCAAATTCAATTTGAAAAATACTTTTTTTTGCCTGAATTCTCGTCTTCAAATAAATGTAATGGAGAACATGAGAGTAAAAGGAACTTACTTTCCCTGCATCAGCTACTAGTTCCACAGCCTCAACACTGGTCCCATAAAGATTACCATGAACGGAAGCAGACTCAAGAAACTTTCCCTCCTTTATCTCTTTTTCCATGACACTCTTCTCAGTAAAATGGTAATGCACCCCGTCCTCCTCCTTATTTCTGGGGGCCCGGGTAGTGTGGCTCACAGAGAAACCAAACATAGAAGGGAATTCCTTCATGAGCATTGATATCAACGTTCCTTTGCCAACTCCAGAAGGACCACTGATAACAATAGGCTTCTCAGCACTGCCTATCACACCCTTACTCCACGCAACAACCTGGGTTCCCGAGACTTCCTGTTGCTGCCTAACGTATGGGGTGTCTACCTGCCAATTTTGAGAAAATGAAAAATATCAAACATTTAACGAAACAAAGGGGTATTTTTGTTGGTAAGAAGAGCTAGTGTCCCATTAAACTAGATTCTCTTCTTCTGTAAGAATTTTGAGATTGATATATGAGAGCGCACCCTTAAGATCACCAAGAAGGGAACTATGCATGGACTAGTATGAGGATGCCTAACTGTGACGCAAAACAAATGGCAATAGGGTGGTAGAGGCATAGATCAGAGGGTTTAATCTAAAAAACACCAACCTCCAAAAACCAAGTGTAATCATCTGGCTTAGCACCCTTCTTCAGAATCAATATCCGATCCTTCAGAAGCACGGCTGAATGGCCTTTACATGAGACTGGTTTGATTCCGAGCACAGTGGGATTAACCCTGCACATAAAATTGAAAATCAGCAATAAGAGCCAGAGAGAAGCAGCTTTGAAGCCAATAAACCTTAAACTGACCATTCTCCAAGACCACCGTCAAAGATTTGAACTTCAATGTACGAAGTTTCATCATCAGCTCCACCAATGACATACTATCAAACAAATGGAGGACCATTTTTTCATTTAGGAAGATAATTATACTCTGGGTACATATCTTGTTAAAGAGTAGAAACAATTTGAAAGATGATATTCAGAGAGTTTGGTGTGGCCATACCGTTTTATCCCCAATGATTGTAGCGGTTTTACGAGTTTCGTTTTCTAATTTAAAACCATTAGCATGTCCCTTCTCCAAAC